ATTTCGACAATAAATTTTCATTTCGATGAAAATTCGTCTTAAATCTTGCCGTCGATGTGAATAGTGTAGACTTCTGGCATTTCCACTTCTCCTGTTTTGCCCGTGGACGAGAAACAAAACGATGATGATGACGACGACGATGAGCGAAACAAAAAACAAATGCGCTGAACAAACTGAAGCTCCAATTCGCACACACACACACACACACGACGGCAGAAGCCGTAACAGCTAAGAAAATATCTTACTTGAATGGAATAGACGCTGTCAGTGTACGAAGAAAAAAAAACAACTGAACAGAACCAACACACAACATATGCAACTCACAAAACGCAACTCTGTCTCTTTTTCGCACAGAACAGCCACTACACCTATAAATCTTCCATTTATTTTATCGTTGGCTATCATTATTTTCCATTCAATTATTTGTTTCGTTTGCTTAATCGACGGTAAAGCTCTGCTGTATAGCAATGCACGCTTGTGTTGAAATTTAATTTATTTTATTGGATCTGTGGCGATATAAATAAAAATGTGATCGCATTTTCATCGACGGCCAACGAAGACGTAAAGAACAAAGCGAGCAACAAAGCATACAGAGCGCAAACAATGCGCCAATGGAATGGAATTGTCATCGGTGGCGGCGGCGATTTTTCCTCTCTCTTCACTTGAAACCCTTTTTTCCGTTTCGATTGTCTTTGCGATGAATTTGAGAAAAAAAGGGGTACAAATGAAAATTTATTAGACGCGATTTTTTTCGCTTTCGCTACGTTCGTTTCAAAATACACCTGTCGCCTGGCAAAGCGTTAAGTGCTCATTTTGTCAAAGATCATGTTTCGAATTGAAAATCGGTGAACTCAGGCAGAACAAAGATAAAAATACTTTTTCGTTGCCACATGTTCACTGCAGGAAAAGAAAACGTGGAGGGAGCAAACAAAATTGATGCTATACTCTTTTTCTATTCGACATTTTTCTTGAATGATTCTCATGTTTCATCTCAACGGTGTGACATTCCTTAATTTTCTTCTGCCGGTCTCTTGTTACTCCTTGTGGACCAAAAGAGGTGAATAGAATGATGGGCAAAGTAAATAATCTGCAAAAGGAAACACAACACACATTCACGAAAAAAAATGCACATCAATTACGAAGATAAAGTTGACGAACAAATGAGTTTGGCATAGAAAAACGTACAACACTTTTTTTTCAGTTCGTTTGTTCGTTGTTTTCTTCGTACAGACACACAAAGCGAAACGATAGATACGCACAGAGCTCATTTCCGAAGAACAACAAGAGTCTCGGTGAACACCGTTAATTCAATGTGCATTGAAGGAGAAAGAGATGGTTGTGTGTCCAAAGTGTAAGCGAATGCGACAACGTTGAAGAAGAGAAGAAGAAAAAAACGAAATGGAACGTGAAAACACTGATGATGGCAGAAAAGTTTTTTCGTTCCATAAATCAGCAATAATTATGTGTACACATTTTTTCACTTGACAAAGAAAAATATATCATTTGGCCGAAAGAGAGAGAGAAAGACCGAATGAGCGAACGTAAAAAAGCACACGAAAGACGAAGAAAATGCGCGATGCATGACGGTATCGTAGTCTGAGCTCGTCTCTGGGAAAAGTGAGAACTTTTCAATTTAATCTGGTTTCAAAGCGCAACCATCCACTCGTCGTAACTTTTCTCTCACTGCACTCTCTCTGTCTCTCTCTCACTCTCGCTCGTCCAAAGAGATCATATGACTGTGTTGTTTTCGGTGTGCTCGTTATTATTATTTTTTTTCTGTGTCGGTGTCACTTCGCATTGTCCTCCCTTGGCTAAATTATGAGAAGTACATTTAATCTGATTAAATCATGAGGTAAGTAGATTTTTCCTGTTTGCTGCACTCGGGTATTCACTGTGGTTGTGTGTGTATGTATGCGAATTTGTGCTGAGCCACGAATCTGTGATCTTGTCTGGATCGTGTTTGTTACATGCTGGTCTGCCGTTTTTGCTTCTCGCCATCATCATCATCATCATCATCATCGTCGTCGTTGCGAATGGAAAAAATAATCACATCTTAGATTATATATTTACACTTATTCGAGTTAAGGATAAAGTACGAAGAAGTGAAGGTATTGCTGAGTGGTTCTGCCAGTTTTATAAAACTTTTTTAATTAGCCATTTCCAATTCCCTTTTCTCTCTCTCTCTCTCCCACTCCTTCTCACTTACGACGATAGAATGCAATTTGTGTCTGCTTTTACCTCGTTCGTGTTCGTGTTCGTGTTCGTGTTCGTGGTCATAGTATTGTTCAGTTAAATGAATGTTCTGCATAAATGAATTTCGGTGATAATTGAATGGCGGGAAAAAAGTGTCTTACCATCGAATTTCATTCCATCGTAGCAAGCAAGCCAGAAAAAAAATCCGCAAGGAAAATGGTCGAAATTTATCACAGCGCTCATCATTTTAATGAGCCAAACCGAAAATCGCTTCTCGATAACATGTATGCACGTAACAGCGTTATCAAATCGAACGCGAGTGAAAAGAAATATTTATATATATCGCATAATGTTTTTCTCCCGCTTCTTTCTAGTTTGCGATTTAAGGTTTGTTATATCACACGGATGCACGAGCGCAAGAGCATAAAGAGAGTCATGGCGAAAAATCGCCCATAAATTTAACTTTCTCGAGTAAATTACAAAAATGTAATAAGACCTCAATAATCTCTAGTTACGCGTTGAAAGTTGAAAATTGATCATAATAAAGAGCTGCTTATTCCCTCGAATGGCGCATTTTTTTCTGTTGCTGCTTCTTCTACATCTCTCTCTCTCTCACTCTACTCTGAATCTCCGGTCTAGCGGAGAAGCTCTCGCTCTCTTTTGCGTGTGTACTAGAATAAGGTTCGATTTATAAGTAGTTATGGCGTTGTACCTTATTCGCCAATAATGCGGAACTTCAAAACATACACACGCATCGAGAGCGCACCCGATCTCACTCTCGCTCCCTCTTACTTGCTCTCATTCGCCGTGGTGGTGGCTCTGTTGGTTTAGGTGTACCAGTATAGCGTAATGTACTGAAATCAAACAGCGTATCGTGTCTTAACTTTTCGCTCAATATTATTATTTATTTATTTTCCATTTGTTGTTGCTGTTGTTGGCGATGCTGCTGCGGTTTTTCGCAAATACACACACAGTTTGACTAGAGAAAATGACATCGATAAAAAGTTTTTTTTTCTGTTGCTAAAATTGCTCCTGAAGAAAGATGATCGAAACGAAGCGGCAACGAAGAGAGCATGAAAAAGTAGCGAATACGAAAGAAGAAGAAGAAGAAGAAGACGAGAAAAAAAAACACAACGACATCTACACGAGATTATTGGTATGGATATTGCTCCGGAGGTACTGTTGGATTAAAGTGTAATACAAACTGTCAATTAAAGTATGAAATACAGCACGAAAATATGATACGCGCATTTACTGCATACTTGGAATCGCTTAAAGTCAGTTATCATAGCCAAGTGCGAACGAAGCTCTTCAAACGACTGGGGCACCCCATCGAAAAGTGGTATGCTGCAGCAGCAGCCAAACAACCATCATAAAGGAGGAAATCGACCGGCGACATCCGTGTGTCGAACACTCTTTTCTTTTTCGTGCATCGAATGTGAATCAAAATCAAAATTGTTTGCCACAGAAAAAAAGCGCTCACACACACACATACACCAGATAAATATTCCTGTTCGCTCAACATTTTCCACTTCACATATAACTTACATTTATTGCCCATTGCTTACAACGTAACATACAAGAATGGGAACAAAAAGCAAAACGATTTTTTTTTCAAAGTCATCTTATGTTTCGTTGGCCATTAATGCAGTTATTCAGTTGCTAAATGCGAACATTGATTTACGAAAATGACTTTCAATAACTTGTATCATTGGATGATTGCAGAAATCGTTTAATTGCTGACTCGAACACACCATCAAATGTGTTATAGCATTTGATAATTGTATTTGTGCAAGGGATTTTTTTTTATATTCTTCCATTAAATTCAATTTGATTCGTTTTCTCTGCTGATTTTGTTTCGATTATTTCACGATTGCTGAGGTTATTAGTTGCCCTATTCTATGCCAGTCGAATAACTATCTAAAGGGATTGTAACATAACAGAAATCGAACAATCAGATAGCAAATTGCTTGTGAATATTGCGACAAACGGTGATTCAATCCGTAGAGGGTTGAAATAACAATGCTGCTGCTGCTGCTGCTGCTGCTGCAATTGAGACGATGAGCATAGTGATGTTGATGGTCTAGGGCAGCAAGTCGTCTTCACGCCACACACACACAACCAGAACGAATTCTGATACAAGCTTCCATTATCGTTATTTTTAATAACGAGACGCAAAATTATACGGTGAAATGGCAAACGGAAGACATTTTGTCGCTTGATGCTGTGTTACATTTGGTACATTGGCAATAAAAGGCATTTCGAATTTAATCAATCGATTTCCATTTGAAATGTGAAAAATTTCACCTACTCATACATATGTGTGAACGAACGTGGGGCGCGCGCTGAATTTCATATTGTCGCACAATATGTCAGACAGTGTGACGACTGGTTGGCAACCGTAAATGCCAACATGTGAATTGATTCCCCGATTCAATATCGGATGCCTGCTATAAGGTATTTCCACGTATTTACAAACAATCAACACAAAAATCCGATCAGCTCCTTCCGGAACTGTTCAGCTTCTACCGGAATCAACACGTTGCTCGAAGACAAGGCGCACACACCCAAATACACATCAAAATGACACTGGAAAATACATAAAAATCGTAATAACATTCAACATATAAGAATGCGACTGGCAACATACGGAATAACGACACATCGCTGCTACTGCTGTTGCTATTTCTTTCACTTCACAAACTCAACGAACAGAAACAAACGCCAATTCAACAAAACGATAAAAATTGCTCAAGAGAGAAAATGCTATCACATGTATGATGGCAAACAGAAAAAGAAGATTAATATTTTCGTTTTTATTTTCACTGACTGGAATTGCCGTTTCTTTATTACGAATTCGAACTAAATTCACATTTATATTTACACTTATTGTTTGATTGGGATGTTTAAATCTAATTTCCATTCTTGCTACCGGTTTCATCTCACCCTCTCTCTCTCTCTCTACTTGATCAGTACAAATAGGTTTTAATCTAATTGCAATTTGAAATGTACCTGATAGCTGCTTTTGATCGAAATGCGTCGACTTTCGTTTTACTTGCAAGAGAAAAGATTCACGCATTGCCTGAGTATTGTGATGATCTTATTTCTTTTAAATTAATCTATTCAATTTCGAAATATCGTTAGGTAAAATTGTATGCAAATTAAATACATTTTAAGAAATTAGTACTTTGGTTCATATTTGGAAATATGAGCGTTCAAAAAGTCCATGTGAAATGCAATGTTCGTGAATGTTGTGTATTTGTCACTATCACAACTGCCCGCCTTATTGCCGCCCGTACTGACAATGCCACGGATGATGTATGTCGTTTTCTGCCGAACAGTTTGCGGAAATACAAGACCACCACCTGGAATTATCAATTGAAATTGCGATACATTAATGAATTGTGACGAATCGCATATATCAGACGAAGAGATCATCCATCGATTCAAAAAAGATTCATTCAAATATTTTGAGGGAAAATGTTAAAAAATTTCATCCACAAAGAAAACTGAAAATAAAACCAACCTGAGTCACCCTGACACACGCTCGCGCCAGTCAAATACCCAGCGCAAAATTTGTCGGATGTAATAAAATTGGCGAATTCGGATGATGATTTATCTTTGCATTCTTCTCGGCTGACAACTGGAAGTTCGATTTTCTTGAGAACAGGACTAGGTTGGCCATTTGATTGTTCAAGTCCCCATCCGGCTGTGATTCCTCTCCAACCAACTGGCACGATTTTCTCATGATACTGCAGATTTTGTGGTAAACAAATTGGTGCAATAAATGAATGGAATTCAATGTGCTTGTCAAGTACTAATAACGCGATGTCATCAGCATAATAGTTGGCTAAATCATTATAGCCGTAGATATAGTGGAATTGCTCAATTGAAAAGAATTGCGGTTTGTATTCTTCGTGAGCTGAATAGTCTCGGAATGTTTTGCCCACAGCAACTTGAAAGGCTTCCGGCGCAAATGCGCTATCTTCACTTGCATCCCAGAAACAATGCTATAATTTAACCATAAACATTTAAAAAATGGATAAATAAATGAAGTGAAAAAAGAAGGGACAAATTATTTTAAAAAAAACTGTAAAATTTCGTAACAACGAACAATATGAACTGTTGGCATTGACAATTTTGAGGGAAAAAAATCGGATTTACCATGGCTGAAATGATAAGTTTGGAAGTGATAATGGATCCACCGCAAATCTGTTGGTATTTTCCATCGTTGTCTCTTTTTCGGTAAACGCCGACATGCCACGGAACTCTTGAAATGTTTGTTGCGGCGCCACCAACGACGTAAGCGGACCCCTCATTGATCTCTCCACAAATTCTTGATAAATTCAAAATTTATTTATATTTAAACTTAAAATAGAAAAAAATGAAATTATACATACTGCGTGCATTTTTGCGGTTGTGGACTCCATCGTCCGTCTTGACGGCACGTGAGAGTTTGTTGTGGCCCAGTTTTTTCATAACCATGCTGACAGCTCACGTAAGCAATTGTACCTGGCTCTACCGGTCGGACACATGATGTCGACTTTTGCGTGTTATTGATGATCGAAAAGCAATTCGCCGATATTGTAACGCCTTGAATTTCGGTAGCACTACATCTTGGCTTGCATTGCGGTGTTGGCGATTGCCAACGGCCACCAATACATATATTCGTTCCGTTTCCAAACAAATAATGATTTTCAATGCACGAATAGTTGACACTAACGAAATTTTCCACAATTTCACCGTACATCACTTTCTTATTTCGATCGAATTGATAATACGCATCTCCGTTCACTGGAATATTATCCGCACGACAGGAGGCCAGATTTGATGGTGTTGTATATGATGTGGTCGTTTGAAATGGAGAAACTGGTGAACCCGTTTGAAATGGAGAAACTGGTGAACCCGTTTGAAATGGAGAAACTGGTGAACCCGTTTGAAATGGATTCATTGGCGATGGATTCGTCGGAATCACCGGTGGCCGATTTGTTAAAGAATGATTCTTGCTTCTACCACACAAAGCCCAATTCTCATCACTTCCATCGGTACAATCAATTCTGGAATCGCATTTCTTTTTGCCGCTAATACAAGCGCCAGTTCCACAACGGAATGCAAATGTCGGGCAATGGGTTCCAAAACAATATCTCACTGTTTCATCCGATAAATCACTGATTTTTCAGTCCAGATCGTAGATCAAATTCATGAAAAAAAAATGCAAAAAGTCAATATTGCGATTGAAATAGCTTAATATGATTCCAAATCCATGCTCTCACCTGCAATCGGGGCTTCCATCGCACATCGCATCCACATTTATACATTCACCATTATCACACTGAAAACTATTCTGACCACACTGGCCGTGTAGCTGTTGCTCGTTTTTGGTTGGGCACTTCTCTGACGCTTCATCGGAACCATCTGAGAAACCGAATCGAAATGGTATAAAGTGGTCAAAATGAAAAGAGATTCGATTTCATGCTCTGTCATTTCTTACCTACGCAATCGATTTTGCGATTACATTCGGCATTCCCCGATACACAGGCGCCATACGCGCATCGAAATGCAATCCTCGGACATGTTGATGCTATACAATTCTCCGTGGTTTCATCACTTCCATCACTATTTTGACGAAAACGAAAGAAAAATTGTTATGCTTCTCTTCAAAATCGTCCCATTACATAATTTTTGGAGCCAAATTTAAACCAAAGATTTCTAACCTGCAATTCCGTACACCGTCGCACGATTCCGATGAATCAATACATTGCCCATTGTCACATTGCCATTCGAATGTGTTACATTGTGACGTTTGTGCGACTGATCCTCGATTATCATTCGGCCTCTGTGTATTCCGATTGTCGTTCGGTATTTGTGTGTTGAAACTTTGACTCTGGCTGGGTCTCTGCGTATTGTATCGCTCGCTCTGGTCCGTTCTCGGTGTGTTGGAACTTTGACTCTGGCTGGGTCTCTGCGTATTGTGTCTCTGGCTCTCTACCGTTCTCGGTGTGTTAAAACTTTGACTCTGGTCTGACTGCAATGCAATAAAACTTCGTTTTTCGTCCGTTCTTGGTGTATTGTGGTTTTGATTTCGATCTGCGCTCTGTCCAACGAAACTTTGACTCCGATACGGTTGTTGTTCACCTGCGTTATTGTTTCGATTTCGAACTGTGCCCTGTTCAGTGAAACTCTGACCCTGATATGGTCGCTGCTCACTGAAGTTCAAACTCTCATCTGGTCGCTGTTCACCGAAATTCCAACTGCCATCCGATTGTTGTGCAGGAAAATTCCAATTCTGTGTCGTTTGCGTGGCTGAATTCCGATTCTGTGTCGTTTGTGTGACTGGATTTCGACTTGAAACTCTTGCGGCTATTTATTTTCAGAAAAAAAAAGATGAATAAATTACTAGACATCAGCGTGATCACCGCTTAACCAGGGAAAAAACATTTATCTGCGGTTAATCTAAAAGCAACGTTTAATTATAAGTCAACTATTAAAACGCATATCATTAAGCCACATAAATAGACGAATGACGTATTAAGCGTCTTTTGAGCGGCAGAGGTGAATGTCATCGTCGTCGACCTTTGTTTTAGTAAACATTAGTGGCGTGCCACACTATTTAATCTTATCAACTTGTAATGATCGTTGGTCACAAATGCGTATGAACTTAGCGAATGAATTTTGTGAATGAATTGAAATCGAAGAAATTGTGATTGATGATCACAATTTAAAAAAAAACTACATCTTTCACATTCCAAACTTAACGACCAACTGGTTCGTCCAGAACGTTCGATCTTCATATCATTGGTATTTAAAATTCAAAATAAGAAAAGAATTAACCGCTTACACTGAGCAACGGCCAAGATGCTTATTATTAAAACTACACATGTAAATCTCAGCATTCTAATTTATGTTTTTGTGTTATAAATCTACACACAACTAAATGACATTGCGTTTAATTCAAGCTGGAATTTCACTTTGTCACAATTTTGCGGATAATTTTTTGTTTCTCTTCGTTCACAATAGCGCGCTGAACCATCAGCTCCGTTTCACCAGATCGATGAATGTAAAACGTATTCGAATGTCGATCATCACTAGTTGCCGTTTCTTTTCAACGACGTCAATCTATTAGTCCAAATCATTTGTGAAAAAAATAAATAAATGAAGACCGAAACACAAACAAATCAAAACTGAAAAGACAAAAGAAAAAAAGAAATCTTTATCAATTTGCTCTGTCCCTCTCTCTCTCTCTCTCTCTGTGAGCAACACTTTCAACATTAACACGGAAACAAAGAAGCAAGTATCAAGCAACACAGAATAACACGTACATGCAAATATCTACCATATAAACGACTGGGATTTCCATTTCGTGTGCCACTGGTTTTGATAGTAACACAGAGAGTGTCATTAGATTTCATGTTCATACGATTACATTCCAAGAAAGAAAAAAAAAACTTGGGCATCTGTATATGTGTGTCACTTCATGCTAATAACTATAGAAACATTTAAATATTCTATGATTGGAAACTATTGGCGTGTTGTTGTATGAACGATTTTTGAGCATGTGTGTGGCGGGGACTTTTTTATACACAAAGATTATCGAAGCATTGAAATTAAGTAAACATGAATCTTCTTTTCCATTGGCGATGACGACGACAATGACGATGACTGTATTCAACGTTGACATCGGCAATGTGATAAGAGAGCCGTGTTACAAAGAGTAAACACACAGCGCTCTCGGTTCATACGGGCAATCGATATGTAAATAAAAAGAGTGCGACGACGCTGCAAGCGAATGAGATGGAGCGAAACTGGTATTGTGACGATTCAACATGTTACACATTGTAAAAACGCTCGTTTCATTGGAACTCATTTTTCCACGCAAATCACTCTTTATCAGCACGAAACCGTACACAAAACAAAACGAAATAAATTGCATCTAAGCCTACGTTTTTGGATCATTCATAATTATACGCCAATTTAATTCAGAGTTTAAACAAAAACCGATTTCAGAACTAAGAATAGACTTTTGTTTTGCTGAATTGGTGCTCATTTTGCCAACTCATGAGATATGTTTAGATTCACTATCGCAAATAAAATGATGATTATGCTTTGTTGTGAATTGTACTCGGAAATCATACTTGCTGATAATATTTATCGGAATTTCCCAATTTCTTAAGCCACTCGATGAAGATTATGGCTAACGATTTGTAAGGGAAAATTGATCCAATTGCTAGTTGCAATTTCTAGCGAACGTGTCATTGAATTTATCCGTACAAATTATCGCTTTGACTCAGTTGCCGTTACAATTACTAATGTAAAAGGTTCTTGCGGTTTTTGCTAATGCTCTTCACAAAGGCAAAGTGATGACCAAATCTATGGCCAAACATTATAGTTCGTGAAAAGAGATAGGAAGAAAGAAAGATAGTCTCTCTATCTTAGAGAGAGACGAGGAGAGAGAGAGAGAGATTTTTTCTCCTTTCGTTTGCCTTTGATCACAAATGTGATTTAATTATATGTACGATGCGTACAATAAGTTGGTGCTCGTCAGAAGAAGAAGAAAAAAAAATTATGCATTACACGCACAAAACATTCATAAGTGATTCATTATTATTCCGAACTAATAAAGAAGATGGTCGAAATTTTATTCATGACTTGATTTGTATATTTTCATCAAATCTGTACAACAAATTATTTGGATCGATTCTGGCCGCCAGATCCTCAGCAAAATTAATAATAATCTTCGACGTAAAACCAATTAATTACAGAACCAAAATCGAAAGGGGTATTTTTTTTGGCTTTGTAAACATGCAGATTGCTGATCGCTTCTCATTTGTTTGGCTTTAATTTGTGAGAAATAAAGAGAAAAAAAATGATTAATACAAAAAGTGAATAAGCAGAATAAGAAAAAGTATATACACTCGAATCGAATCGAATCAAAACGAGTGGGGAAAAGTCTGGGCATTTGCATGCGTAAACTTTGTAACAAGCCTTTTAATATTCATTCGATGAATAATTTTATTTGTCTCATCTTCCTTTTGAGCGAAAGAAAAAATCAGATTGCGGTTCACAATTAATAGATGGAAGAGAAGAAGAAGAAAAAACCGAAGGAGAATGGGCGAGTGTGTGGCAAGAAATAATTTGATGCATTCATCGAATGAATGGATGTTTCTTGGTTGACCGAGAAGAATGATAATGGCATTCATTCTGCAACAAGCAGCCAACCTCAATTATAAATTTCCTTTAATAATATTTCTTTTAATTAGTTTTGGACGAGGAAGGTCGTGCGCGCATCAGCATCCGTTTGCTAGCTGCGCTTCCCACATTACAAGAGGTGGCTTCACTTATATTCCGTATCTAGTGTCATGTATTATTTCAATATATTTTTTTTCTCTCTCTCTCTCTCTCTCTCTCTCTCTCTCCTATGTTGCCATATCTGCCTCATTTTTTTTACACTTGACACTTTTTTTCTCTATTGCATAATTGATGTATTGAACATTTTTTTTCTCCTTCCTTGGCTTCCCGTTTTGTAAGCATACACTTTTGCCCGAGATCGATCAAGATTAAGAGCGTAAAATGCGAAAATATTAATAACGACATCGAGAAAAATTGCACAACTTTTAATTGCTTTACTGCGTTGGAATACGAACAAAAAAAAAGAGTCTCAAACTCAACCGGCACAGTTTTTTTTCTCTCTTCTTCGTTTAGTTTTGTGTGAAAATCAATAGCTGTGATTGATTCAACACTCCTAGAATAGTTTAAAGTTAGAAAATTGCTGCTGTTGTTATCATCAAGTGATTGAGATTATGATCACCTTTTTAATACATCGTCGTTGAAATGAATTCATTATGAGGTTTCGTCATTTTGCATTGGATTTGTGTGTGTGTATGTTGTTGGTTGCTGTTTTAAAGCAAAAATCCTATGCAAACTCATTCCTTGTCATAAAGGAAGCGTAACAAATTATCGTCTTCACGCAAGTGAAACGACGGAGCGACCACGAAATGGAAAAGTTTAAAAGCACACCGATGTTCCAATTTCGACCAGCTCCCGGCATCACACCGCACACCCAGAGACAAGGAGCGATACGATTTGGATGAGTGTGAGCCAGAGCATATACACAACAATTACAACAACGGCAAAAGTTGTGTTTTTGTGAAAAACATTTGCAACAAGAGGCGCAATTCTTCTATCTCTCCCTTTTGACAACGTCGACTGAGCGTGGTGTGAGCAAGATTCCCTCTCTCTCTCATCATCGAAAATTTTGTGAAAGCAAACACCGGCCATAAGATGTGGAGATAAGCGCGAATGAGCGTGGGCCCGCCAGCCACCGAGCAATGTACCTAGGTTGTTTTTTGATGTTGATTCGGCTTATGTTAACGCTGCCTGATGTTTGTCTAAATCATATTAATTTTTTATGTCCGCACGTAATTCGATGGAGCATCATGTTTTTAAAACGATGATTATGTTATTAGATCAAGGCATTGCGTGGCGCCCGTCGACAGCGACGGCGGTGGTGGTGGCAGCCGAACGACAACACCGAAAACATCATGATACACGCCAACAGTAACAACAGTAATAAAACGTTTATAATTAATTTAAGGTGATTTTTTTTCTGCTCCTCTGTTTGCAATTTGGAGATAATGTGTTTGATTAGCGAGACTTGTGAGCACCATTGTGCGGAGCGGAGGGCCAACTCTGATTCCGTTTCATATACAATGAAGTTGAGAATGAAACGGCAAAGAAAAAAAAAGAAAAGCAATGCGAAAAATCCAGGAGTAACAACAACAGATTCATCACATTTCACGAAATTTATTCATAAAATAATATGAGAATGAGTTTGGCCGTGCGCCTCGTTTCCTTGCTGTTTGCTTTTTCCACATCGGGCCACTTTTGCGCGGAAATTATTACGTTCGGTTTATGGTGGAAGATCAAAGCCAAAATAGATATCGTCTTACACACGGAACGTTGCCTCAACGAAAACCGTTGTTTTTATCAATTATTCAATCATTTTTACCGATTCGACGAAATCTCTTACGGAAACCAACGACGGAAGGAAGGGAAGCTAACATTTTCAATTTTTAATTGCATACATTTTTCAGCTAGTCTCTCAAAACTCTGAAACTCCGCCACTCACTCACTCACTCTCTATCTCTGTTTCTCTTAATTTACGATGAATTTTCTTTGATATTTCAAGTGATTCGGTTGTATTAACGCCACGATTTACGTTTTTCCCGTGCTCGCATTGTTTGCACAGTGATATAATGCGAATGCCTTGTTTATTTGTCAACCATATTCCGATTTGATGCTCATCATCATTTGTTATTCTTTTTGTGTCATACTTCTACCGACAATGAAAAAAAATCAGTCGTATAACAGACGATTCCCAAGCCAGATATCGATTGCGGAAGAAATCTGTGGCATTGGTTACAAAATCACCTTCGTAAACAGACACACACACAAAAATATATATAAATCCGGAATTCGTAATCCATTTTCCGTCGATGTTCAGTGTGTTTGCTTTGAATTCAGCCCCCAAACAGCTGTTGTTGATATGCATAGAAAAACACGCACTTGAACATTCAGTTACAGTCCCCGTTCCGTCTTTTTTTTTCTTCACTCCGACATTTCTTCTTGCTGCCTCGTACAATTTTTTTTTATGTAAATGAACAGTTAGCAAACAGTTCGTAAAAATCAAATCTACCGAATGGAACGATATACGGTATACGAACGATGGCACAACGAACGAATCAAAAGTAAAAGAACAAATATTTTAATTCGGTGTGTTTACAACTCCTTGAAGAGTTCACCTTTATTTAAATATTCGCTGTTCGTTTACTGTGTGTGCCGTTGCCGTCGTCGTCGTCGTCGACGACGTTGTCAATATCGTCTTTTTTTCTCTCCCTCACGCTCACTCACTCTTTACGTTCCCTTTCTTTGCATTTCTTTTCCATGCTGCCGCTGGTTTCGGTGCGTTCACTCGTTTCGATCGACAGGAAAGTACGCCATGAAAAATTTCCACACAGATTGAAAGTCAAACAAAGGAATACGACGAACATAAAAAAAAATTATATATATAAACAGATTAAAAAAAATACAGAAACGTAAAAGAAATGCTGGATTTTTCTTCGTTGCCATCTCATCGAGAGATAGAGTGAGCAGGAAAGAGAAGGCGAGTTTACCTACATAGTACGTTCAAAGATAATTATGCTGGCAAAAAACCAAGAGTTTTATTGTGCGCACGGTAAAATCACTTGTGCATACATTGTCTTGAGTTTTTGTGTTCGGCGATCAAATAATGCGACAGTGTGCAGCTAGGCGAATGAAAGACGAAAAAGGAAGAAAGAGAGAGAGAGAGATGGAAAGTGCGAGTGCGACACAGGCAAATGTTGAATCAATTTACATGTTGGACTCGGTGCGAGCATTTTGGAATCGTCGCTTCGATTCGGATACCGTTCCAAAATTTCGTATTTTCGGTATGTGTGTTTATTTGTTTGTTGCAAACAAGTGTATTTGTGTCAGTCCCTCGAAACGTGTGTCATTGTATTGTTTATTTGAGTTTTATTTTTGCATTCGATTGTGTGTGTGTGTATGCTGTTGCCAATGCTGTCGCCTTGAAAGATGGCTCGTGATTCTCATACCTCTTCGATACGCGATATCGAATGGAGAAAGAGTGAGAAACCGAGTGAGAGAGAGAGAGAAAGGAAAAAATAAACGACTAACTCACACTTAAGCATCAAACCGAATCAAACAAAACCGAAAAGAAAAACAAATGTAACGCATTCGTAAGCGCTGAGCCAAGCCGAACGCTTCGAGTTGTGTTCAATTTGCATTTTAATTGCTTTCAGACGGCAAAATATCGCATCGTGGAAAATGGAAATGTTGTGTGTGCGCGCGCCCGCGACAGAAAAACTACCAAAGAGATTATTGTTTGAATGAGCGAGAGAGAGAGGGAGAGAGAGAGAGAGAAATTGAAGGGAATAAAGAGGTAAATGCAAATAGGTGGAATTCGCTGTGTTCATATTCATTCGCCGAATCGTGAAGTCAAGTGTATTTTTAGTGCAAACAACAATGTTCCGATGCGGTTTTTCGAATGCGCGCGTGAGCGTTTGCAATTTTCATTTTTGATTTCTTAATGACTCGATTGTTCCATCTCAATGACAATCGTTAAGAAGTTGCATGAACGCAATTATTTTGCGCGGTGTTTGTGTTCATTTTTTTCCCCATTCGCATTGCATTCGAACGTTGGCATTACCGGCGTAATGGCAGTTTCCGCTTGTCATTCGTTCACCGATGAACATGTATTTCAGTTTGAGTGTGACGCGCACGGTCTATCGGTGTATGTTGTAACAGATACACACACGCATGCAAACCGATTGAAGCGGTTGCCAAGCAACGGAGATTCGATTGACATAAAATTGACAACACGAAATCAGTCGGCGCATTCAAATCATAAACAACAAACGGAACACACAGCATGGAAAAGAAGCATAGTGTCAAGTGTGAGATTTTTTCGTGGCGAACCGAGGATTTTGCTGAATATTGCAAACTTCCTGAAGTTTTGCACGATGGAATCACAGGTGGGTCTTTTTTCATTGGCGGCCTCTTTCATTTTTTACATTTCTCACATTTTTTTCGGTCCAAAATATCCAAGGTCAACGAGTTTTAATGAAAATTCGAACATTTTACACTCTATGCTACTCTTTCCATCTTCCACACAGCAGATAAAATAGCATCCATTTCGAGCGATGGTGTCATTGATGTGTACGAAATTCAAACTCAATGCGAAAATTGCTACCAATCCTTTCATCCAACCGCATTTGACAAGCACATCTGCGGGTACAGTGATCGCAAGACATTTGTGTTTGACGAGCAAATGATGAATTTTCTGTGGGAAGAGAGTTCGTTGCGCAAAATGTACACGGAAAATAATAAAGTGATTCAGCAGATTTTGGATCAAAACGGTGATGTGAACAATCGATCGAAGGATGCCAAGAGATCGGTGGTGCAGGCGCATCATGTATGTACGGTTTGTCATCGCATGTACGTTCATGCATCGGGATTGTCACGGCATATGGAAACTCAGCACAATTCAACCGATACTCGCTTCAATGCCGTGGATCAGTCACAGAGCTATGATGAAACATCGACTGAAGTTATCAAGTGTTTGGTTTGTGGACAAGTATTCTACAATCTAACGGCATGTTTCATGCATTTGAAGTCAACCCACACGGAATTCGGTTTTGATGAAAGTGAACGAAGCTTAGAAGCGGGCGACTCACTATTGTTCGAGAAGATCAAATTGGAGCATGCATTCCAGTGTGAATTCTGTGACCTTTTGTTTGCGGATACATCGGGTTTGTTCCAGCATAAGATGACGCATGACATTAGCACCGGTTACGAATGCAGCTCCTGTGAATTGGCCAGTCGCAACCTGAAATTCATCTTGAATCATCGCGTGAGCGAGTGTCCATACGAAATGTACGAAAAAAATCCGAAAATCAATTGTCAACTGCGATTTGTGTGCAGTGATTGTGAAGCAACATACCCATCATTGGCACAGCTGTACGAGCATCGGTATGAACTATTCATGGCTACTTTGATTGATGCTTGTTTTCAAGATTTGTTCGCAGTCTCGCTAGCACTCAATTCGGCGTTTCCAATTCAAATGAATGAAATGCCGGAAAATTCCATTCCAAATTTTTGAAAATTGTTTTTTTTTTCCCTTTCGAAACAGGCACTTGAAGAGTCATTTCCAAACGCTGTACAGCCGTACGTCGGAACAAAATGAGTATTTCTGTGAAAAATGTGGCCAAATCTTTGAAAAAGACGTGAATGCCCTGATGGTACATATCGATGCGATTCATTCGAAGAAGGGGAAAACACAAAGTCTGCCAATGACAACCACCGTTCGACCGTATTTGTGCGAGGTGTGTGGAAAAGGATACACGCAATCGAGTCATCTCTATCAGCATCTTCGTTTTCATAAAGGTGAATCATCAATTGCAATCATTTTTTGTACTGAATTCATGTGTTGAGAGAGAAAAATGACGACAAACATTCCATTTCAGGCATCAAACCGTTTGAATGCACGAAAGATGGCTGCAATCGCAGGTTTACCATTCGCCCGGATTTGAATGACCACATTCGCAAATGTCACACGGGAGAACGGCCATATAAGTGCTCTGATTGTCACAAAACCTTTTTGACTGGCTCGGTTTACTATCAGCATCGTTTAATTCATCGCAACGAACGCCGTTATGGATGTCGCACCTGCGAAAAACGCTTCCACCGATCTGATGCATTGAAAAATCACGAACGCATTCACAGTGGAGAGAAACCGTACGCATGTGGCGTCTGTGCAAAGACATTTCGACAGAAGGGTGATCGAGACAAACATTTCCGTTCGCGTCATCAGAATGGGTATGATGGACATTTTTCAATATCTCAATTCCATCAACTAATTCAATTATATTTTGGTATATTTTTCACAGCTTACTTGGCCTGAATGGCACACGTGAGGACAGTCCAAGTGATTTTTTGATGGGTCTAGCACAGATGCGTCCGTACTTCAAGAAGATCAATGGAATCGATATTTTGAGCATAGCCAAAGAATAATTCGTTACTCATATTTATTCATCCGTTTTTCAAGATGTTTCCCATTCTTAGAGTCTAAGTTGTTCCAATTTCCTTTGATTTACCGTTTATTAGCAATAAAAATGTTTTCAAGGAAGAACAAAAGTTCATAAAATGAATACACATAACAATAAAAATTACGGCGGATTGAAGCCTATTCGGTTGTTCCAATTTGATTTGAATTGTTCACAGAATGAAGTGATGCGCCACAATTACCTAGCAAATGGAAAAGTAAGATGAATATTTTACGCGTTTCACTTGTCTCTTTATTAGTAATAATGTCTGAGTTAATTTAATTGGTCCGTGACACCAAATCCACCAGATAACCTTATTGAGTTTCGACCGTTGTTATTTGTCGGCTACAGAACATGTAAGACGGCAGTCATTGCATCCGGGGAGAGTGTGTGTGTGTGTGTGTGCGAGCGCGTTTGTAGAGTTGATTTAATGCGAGCGTAAATAAATCAACAAGAATCTTGGCTGCTTGAGGCTTTGAGTACAACGAGCCATCGACGCTGCTGCATGCGAAATAGGGAATGAATGAGCTGAAATGACGGTAAATAAAAGTTTCTCGCTCACTCTCTGATTGTTACTTGTTTGAATTAATTCCCGGTGGAATTCGCAAATAGAATTACAATTCAATTAAATGTTCTTACCGAAAGTTGCTGTCGACACAATCAGAGCGCGAACGAAAACGGTTTGCCACGGCTGCTGCAAACACTGTGCAATTCGCATAGCACGGCCAATTGTATGAATGAAAATGTGTGTACATGTGGCATAGGGACACCAGGAACGAGCTTATGTGTCAGTTGAGCGGAAAAGAGCATCAAATGACAAAGCACGAAATTCGTCAGATACAGCGGTTCATTAGACTGAATAATGACACACAATAAAATACCTTTCGACGTGAAAATACGCGTACAAGAATAGCAACTGCAGACGCAAATAAATCTCTCTCTCTCTCTCTCTCTCTCTCTCGCGGTGGAAATGCCATTTGAATAATTTTCCCCGTTCACATTTAGGGCGCAATGGGCTCTCTGCAGCTACATCTTATTTGTCATTTGATTATTTTTAATAATCAACCAAACAAATGTGCAAATATCAAATGTCGGTATAAATCTTTTGTGGTCGTTAAGTTAGATTTCAAAATGTTTATGCTCTAATTAAATATGAAAATAAAAATACTCGAAAAACGAGAAGAGAATTAAAACAATCGAGCAATGCTTTGTGTTTTGTATTGAATTTCACGAGAAAAATAACAATTCATTTTCATTTTATAATAATTAAGGATTGATTGGGTCATTTCTTTAAAGAGTATTGACTTGTTCTCTATTTACTTTTGTAAATAAATCAGTCATGTTCAAGTGAAGAAAAACTATTCGCATCAAATCACTTAAAATTGAGATATTGCAATATTTGCTGTGAACCAGAACTCAATTGCAATATTTGCTGTGCCATGGAGCATATCAGTCTATATGCATTCATCAAAACATCTTGGTGTTTGCTTTATTGAACGATGGTAGCCCGGACAAAGCTACATGTAATGTAAACGGATCGAGGAGAATCGAAATCAATTACAAAAGTGCATCACGGCGAGATAGAAGATGAATATATGGCCTGTTTCCATATTATTTGCTGTTGGATACGCTTTTTCATGATGACAGTGACTTCATTGTAGACAATACAATCAAATTTGAAGTTAAAATCAGGTATCATTAGGAGTGCCAGAAAACGACCAGAATTTAGTGGACCATCTGAAGAAGCAAAGCGCCCGAAAATGGAATGTAAAATCTGTCTTGGAAGCATTTGTGGCCAAGAAGTTTCATCGCTTCCATGCAGTCACTTGTTTTGCTCAAAGTGTATCGAAAACTCCATCGCACTTTACGGGAAATGGCCATTATGCAATGCTGCAGCTTCGTTGGAAGATCTGCGTCGCATTCATTTGCCATTGTGAGTATGATTCTTCATTTAAGTTTTTGTTTAATTTTTCATTAGTTTAATCGTGATTGAAGAAGCAGAGAGCGCTTTCATTCAATTCAAAATTAGTATTCATTTCCAATAATCATTTTGTTTACTATTTCTCATTTGACAGCGTCAAATAGAATCGCCGAAAGTAAGTGAAAAATCAAACCAATCCACATTGCGGAGTGAAGAAGTCACGGAATAATTTCACCGAATTAAATCTGATACAAAAATTTGTCTCGCAAAAATGCTTTTTTCGCAAATATTCACAAAATTCTTTAATTATAATATACATGTCAGCGTGGCGTAAGTCTCTTCGAACACGATTCCCAGAATCACTTTAGGCTGCAGTTGCGAGTGCAATTCATGCATTCTGATTTTGTGCCAAGCGACAAGGAAATTCCGCGAAAATCTATTAAATTTAATCGCATGCTACGATTTGCTTAGACTTCAACACGCCATCAAAAATTGTTTGGTGTTTCATAAATTTGGCCGATGTAAAAGTGAAGTACCGCAGACTCACAACAACGGCCCAATATATGAAAAAGTCGCTCCGAAATCAACAGCATCATCCTTCGTTTGGATGAAGTGCATAATTCTTTGTATGGCTTGGGCATACACGCATAAATTGTATTTTTATAGTTGAAAACACAGGAGCTATTTTCGAAAATGGCCCGTTTCATCAACAACACAATTGAGGTAAATCTTTGAATTACGCTGAATAATTCCACTTTCCGTTGACTCGTATTCGAAAGAGAGAGAGGAGCATCGAAAATAGAGAGCAAAACAAAAAGTATTCATTTACGGTGGCTAATAATAGCGGCCTGTGTTGGGATACATCAAAACATTTTGTTTTGATTGTTTTTGCTGTTCAGTGAATGTGTTGCGTGAGTCCACATAAGCCGGTGAATCGAAGAATCGCTGCTGTAAAATGAAACGATTGTAATGAGAGATTTTACGATTTTTTCGAAAACATTTCGAGCTGTCATTTTTGATTTTTCATCGTGTTTACACTGAAACATGTTGATGGTTGTAGGGCGGTTTGGGTGCAAGCAGAGCATCACCTACGCCAATATTATCGGAATAGAAGTGGAGCTACAAGGTCATTGAATGCTATTTCGTTATCAATTAGAAAGAAATGGGTCGACAAATTGAATTGATGCTGATTTAAAGCAGCGTAGAATGTCATGAACAAGTCATTCATAACCTTATTCTCGATTCAACGTTGTCGTCGTCGTCGTTGGGCATTCACATTTGTAATCGCGTAAGTTCTATTCATAATGCCAAAGTGCATTGAATTGTATGTTAGCCGATTTTTGCCACCATAAATACTTCCGATACTTCATTTGTTTCGGGTGGCAATTGCTTTTCGCTGTTATCCGTTTCTCACTCTCTTTATTCCCTCCATTCCATGGCAATTCAATAGTTGCTGCGAGATGCGCGCTTCACCATCTCAATTTTCGGTTCTCCATAAATTATCACAACAATACTGAATTTATTTTCTAACAACAACAAGAAGACTACACACTTTTTGTCTACAATTACATTCAACCGAACCTGTAAACCTTCCGCACGTTTTATTTATGAATATTGGCGAGAAGTAACACACACACACACATACACAACAGAAATCTACACAAAGAGTAAAAATGATGGCGTAAATGCAGAGTCAGAAAGAAGGAACAAAAAATGAAAGCGGTAAAGTGTATGACAACGTAAAAAGCGGGCATTGTGCGCGTCGAACACAGAACAATGGCAGTGCCAACGAATTCTCACACACCGGTTTTTGTTCTGTTTTCGGATGGCATGAACGGCACAAATTCGTGTACAATTTCCGTAATTCAAACCATTTGAAAAATGTTGTCTCAGGCGCGCACACATTTTTGGTTTGGAGCTGCAAAATTCCGCGAGCCATATTCACAAATGCACGCTCGGATATCGGTTTTGTTGGCGAGTGGAAAAGAGTGTGTTCGAGCCGAGATCCGATGATACGTTAAACGATTGCTTGGAAAAACCGCACCACCATCGACTAACAACGACAACACAGCCAAAAAAGAAGAAGAAGAAAACATTCATAAATTCTGACTACTATCACTGAACCAAAAACACCTAACGCGATCTTTTTTCTGCTTCGCCCAGTTGCTCGGTGCATGAGCTTGTGAGCCTTTTTTCCGTTGCTATGTGTGTGTGTGTGTGTGTGTGTGTGTGTGTGTGTGTGTGTGTTTGTGTCTTCTGTTTTCTAACGAATCGAAAATTAGAGAAAATTGGAAGAAAAAATGCCGAGCAAATGGCCATCCATTAAGCAAAACTATTGGTCTCTGGTTGTGCTTTTATTTTTCACTTGCGCAACAATTTGGCTTCGTGTCCCGTATGCACTTCTCATTCTCTTGGCCCGGAGCTGATAGTCGCCACAAGTGGAAAATATGCTTGCACTTGGCTGTTGCCATTTGTTTTTCTATCTTGCCTTTCTTTCTTATTCTTTCTCATTTTCTCTCTTGCTCTCGTCTATTTCTTCATAGTTCATAATTAATTTTCTTCTCGAATTGATTTTATCAGTGGCGCGATTTATCCGAAACGAAAAAAAAAGCACCAAAGATATTGTCGGGTGCAAGCAAACAAACGTGTAACACACGACGCACATATCGTGATCCGAGTGAGAGAGAGAGAGAGAATGAGCAGACAAACTAACACGTCTGAATGGCTTTTTGGCTGTATGATGATGAATTCCGTGTTTAATCGCAAAATAAGCACCAGATGAAATGCTTCGTTTGCACTACGTCGCCTATTGTCACTTTGTCTCAATTGCAATCGTTTATTTCGTCTTTCCTTCTCTCTCTCTCTCTCTCTCTCTCTCTCTCCAACACTTTCACAACCGGTCGTTTTCCTTTTCTTTTGCACTGCATTCGTGTGTTTCGACTGTTTCACTTCAATCCTCGCACCAAAACCCGGTTCATTATTCTGCACGCTCCATGTGTGTCTGCATGCAAGCAGCCAACGAAATGAGCCAATCTCCGACTATTTTTGCAATTCTAATTCTAATTCAACGATGACACAGGTGTTTCATGCATTATTTAATCACTACAAAGACAACAAAGTTTTCTAACATTTTCATTATATTGTTACGTTTCAACAGTTTTCGACACTGACTACAAATGTGATGCCATTTAAAAAAACGACGGTGTTCGCTTTTCGTCTATG